CCGTGGCAGCCGCGCCTGTGCATGCCACGCCGCGGCGGCCGCGGCGCTCACGCGCCGAGCCGGTGCGCCGCGCGACGCCGCAGGTCCCGCGGCAGCGTGGAGCGTCCACGCACGAGGCTCCATCGACGCCGTTTGCGACGCGGCCCACGACGCTCTTTGCGCCGTCGCGCACCCGCTCCGCCCAGGCGCTGCAGCAGGCGTCCGCCCAAAATATGCCGAGCTGGGCGAGCTCGCTGCTCAATCTGTCGTCGCCCGAGCCGCCCAGCAAGGTCAGCGCAGCGCCTTTGCATGGCAAGGAAAACGCTCGTCCCTCTGTACTATAGCTATGGTCCCTAGTCGCCCGCCTGCGCCAGCATCCACACGAACCGCGGGTCAGTGAGGTCGCGCACCGCCGCGTGGCCCCGTAGCATGCGCTGCAGAGCCCACTGCGTCCAAGACAGGCGCGGCGCGGCGTGTGGCCAGGGCCTCGGCGCAGCGCCCGCCTCGCCATAGTCGGCAACGAGGCGCGGCGTATGGGCCACAACGTAGTGCCCTAGGAACGACAGCTGCTCGAAGACCACCACCAACGTGCGCACGAGGCCCCACAAGACGATCACGAGCAGCAGGGGGCCGAGCCAGTGGTCGCTCTCCCACACGACCGCTGCCTGGGCCGCGCGCTCCCCGGTAGGATACATGGCGACCGCCACGAACGGGAGGCCCGTGTACAGGACGCTCAGCGACGAGACGAAGCCGACCGTGTGAAAGTTCATGGTCAGGCCGACGAGCGCGAGTCCGAGTGTGTGCTCGTACAGGCGCGCATGCCGCCATAGCGGCGGCGGCGCGCGGGGTCCGGCCGCACCGGCAGGCGAGCTATGCACGGTGACAACACGCTGCCAGGGCCACGAGAAGCGCGCACGCACGAGCATCTCGAGCGCCCGCTGCAGCATGCCCTGCACGGCCTGCAAGAGGACGATGGGCTGCGCGAGGCCCGTGAGATACAAGTACGTGTCCGACGGCATCTCCGTCTCGTCTACCGGACCGAGCAGGTCGTCCCACAGCATCGAGAGGCCGTCGGCTCCGCGCTCCATGGGCGGCAGCGCCGACGGCTGGGCATCAGCGCTGGGCTCGTACGACACCGACTGCAACGCCCATGGGTGCATGGCCCCAAACAGGCCAGGCTCCGCGCGCTGCAGCGCCATACGCGCAAGGACGCCCGCGCCCTGCGCAAGCGCGAGGCACAGGGCCACGGTCAGCACGAGACGCACGAGACGCGAGCCCAGCAGGCACATCGCCGGCGTCACACGCAGCCGGTACGCCGCGCCACACTGCTCACAGGCCCGAGCCGAGTCGGTGCGCCGCGACTTGGCGCGCCACTCGTCGAGGCACGACGCATGCACGTACTTCATCGTGCCGCGGCACCGGCAGGGCGCGAGCAGCCGGTCGCCGGGCGCCACGGCACTGTCGAAGCACATGCGGCAGATGCGCTCAGGCGCCGCTGCGTGGCCACCGAGCAAGAGCGCCTCGACTTGCATCTCGTCCACGGCATCGCAGCGGGCGCGGCCGTGCATCGCGGCGCATGGGCGGGCGGGGGAAGGGCCCGCGGCGCGGCGGTGTGTGCTGACTAAGCATTCACAGGCCCTCGCTGTCAGGGCGGGGGCGGCGCAGGGCGCGGCGGGGCCGGCTTCGGCGGGCCCTTCGGCTTGCCTTTGGGCTTGCCCT